ACGAGAGATGAAGTTTCTAAGGAGTATTCCAGCAGGACTTCCTCCAAGGCAGATTTGTTCATTCTTCTAGCAGTCCACGGTACATTCAATATTCTTTACCAGCACTACAATTCAAATACATCAATTCTTCTGTGGTCTTCCTTATTCATTGTCCAGTTTTCACATGCAAATGAGGCTACTGAAAACCCTACAGCTTGGGTCAGGTGCACCTTAGTCTTCAAAGTGACATCTTTCTTGTTTAACACTTTAAAGAGGTCTTTTGCAGCAGATTTGCCCCAGAAAATATGTTGTTTGATTTCTTGACTGCTGCTTCCAAGGGTGTTGATTGTGTATCCAAGTAAAATGAAATCTTGGACAATGTCCATCTTTTTTCATTTATTATGATGTTGTTTATTGGTCAAGTTGTGAGGATTTTTGTTTTCTTTATGTTGAGGTGTAATCCATACTGAAAGGTATAGTCTTTGATCTTCATCAGTAAGTGCTTCAAGTCATATTCACTTTTAGCAAGCAAGGTTGTGTCATCTGCATATCACAGGTTGTTAATGAGTCTTCCTCTAATCCTGATGCCGCATTATTCTTCATACAGTCCAGGTTCTCTGATTATTTGCTTAGTGTATAGAATGAGTAAGTATGGTGAAAGGACACAACCTGATGCACACCATTCCTGATTTTAAACCATGCCAAATCCCTTGTACTGTTTGAACAAGTGCCTCATGATCTATGTACAGGTTCCTCATGAGCATAATTAAGTGTTCTGGAACTCCCATTCTTCAAAATTTCATCCACAATTTGTTATGATCCACACAGTCAAATCCCTTTGCATACTCAATAAAACACAGGAAAACATCTTTCTGGTATTCTTTGCTTTCAGCCAAGATCCAGGAAAACATCTTTCTGGTATTCTTTGCTTTCAGCCAAGATCCATTTGACATCAGCTGTAATACCCCCCATTCCATGCCTTCTTCTGAATCCAGCTTGAATTTCTGGCAGTTCTCTGTTGATGGACTGCTGCAACCGGTTTAGAATTATGTTCAGCAATATTTTACTTCATGTGATACTAATGATACTATACAATAATTTCCACATTCTGTTGGATCACCTTTTTCTGGAATGAGCACAAACATGGATCACTGCCAGTTGGTTGGCCAGGTAACTGTCTTCCAAGTTTCTTAGCATAAACAAGCGAGCGCCACCAGTTGTTGAAATATCTTAGTGGGTATTCCATCAATTCCTGGAGACTTTTTTTTTTTTTTTCCAATTCCTTCAGTGCAGCTTGGACTTCTTTCGGTACAATCAGTTCTTGATCATATGCTACCTCCTGAAATGGTAAATATCAAGCAATTCTTTTCGCTACAGTGACTATGTGTATTCCTCCCACCTTCTTTTGATGCTTCCTGCATTGTTCAATATTTTGCCCATAGAATCCTTCAATATCACAAATTGAGGCTTGATTTTTTTCTTCAGTTCTTTCAGCTTGAGAAATGCCATGCATGTTCCTTCTCTTTTATTTTTCCAATGCCAGATCTTTGCACCTGATGTTATACTTTATTTTGTCCTCTCAAGCTGTCCTTTGAAATCTTCCATTCAGCAATTTCATCATTTCTTCCATTCGCTTTAGCTACTCTCCATTCAAGGGCAAGTTTTAGAGTCTCTTTTGACATCCATTTTGGTCTTTTCTTCCTTTCCTGTGTTTTTAAACAAACTTTTGGTTTCTTCATATATCATGCCCTTGATGTCACCCCACAACTTGTCTGGTCTTCAGTCACTGGTGTTCAATGCATCAAATTTAGATAGTCTCTAAACTTAGGTGAGATATACTCAAAGTCATATTTTGGCTTTCATGGACTTATTTCAATTTTTTTTTAGCTTCAACTTAAACCTGAAATGAGCAAGATCTACTGTCAGCCCTGGCCTTATTCTGACTGATGATATTGAGCTTCTCCATCTCCTCTTTCCACAGATGTAGTCAATTTGATTCCTGTGTATTCCATCTGGTGAGGCCCATGTATATAGTTGCCATTTACACTGCTTTTTAAAAAGGTATTTGGAATGAATAAGTCATCGGTCTTGCAAAATTCTATCATATGATCTCTGCCATCATTTCTATCACCAAGGTCATATATTCTAACTTCTGATGCTGCTTCTCTTTTCTAACTTTCTCATGCCATTCACCAGTACAATCAATACATCTTGACTGTGTTTGGCCAATTTCAGCCCACAGAAGTTGGCAAAAAAAAAAAAAAAAAAAAAAAATCTTCAATTTCATCACCTTTGGCTTTAGGCTTGGCATGTAAATTTGAATAACAGTAGTATTAACTGGTCTTCCTTGTAGGTGTATGAATATTATCCTATCACTGACATCCTTGTACTTAGGATAGATCTTGAAACATTCTTTGTGATGATGAATGCGATGCCATTCCTCTTCAATTTGTCATTCCCAGCATAGTAGATTATATGATTGTTTGATTCCAGGTCATTTCAACCCACTAACGCCTAGGCTATCAATCTTTATGCATTCCATTCCATTTTGGACAACTTCCAATTTTCCTACATTCATACTCTGTACATCCCACATTCATTATAGAGGAAAAGGGGGCAGCCTCCTTTGAAGCTAGGGCTTGCCAATGTGTCCCAGTTCTAGTCAATATGATGTAAAGAAAGATAGGCAGGGAGAACAGGATTGGAAGAGAAAATAGTCTTGGAAAGATTATTCTTCCCTGATGAAACCAACCAACAAACAACAAATGAAGAAAAAATTATCAGGTGCAGTATATGGAATTCTCTTGTTACCCTGGCAATCCACACTTTGCTTTCTCCCTTTGGCTGTGGCATGTGGAAATGTGATGTTTGGAGCTATAGCAGCCATTATATAACCATGAAACAATAAGTCTGTCCATGGACAAAAAGCCAATCAGCTAAGTATAGCTGTGCAAAAGAATGGAGAGAGCCTGAACTCTTCAGTAAATCACTGAGTCACCAAACCATTCCCAAGACCTCACACTTCTCACCATTCATTCAGTCCACACTGTTAATTAGTTGCCTATTATTGAAGCTGAAAGTAGTTGAACACACCTACTGGGGACAAAATGCTGAAGTAAAATAAGAAAAGTTCAATCTTTAGAAACCTGGAGATAACCTAGTACTATAACCTCTTGAAGGTAGAGATGACTAGGTTCTGAAGAAATATTATCTGTGTAAGTTAGGCTGTTCCTGGGGGCAAGAAATAGAAACCCCACCTTCAAAGGACTTAAACAATAAGAAATGAGATTCAGGGTCTTGATTCGGGGACTCAACAATGTCATCAGGACCTCAAGAGTGCTCTCTGCTCTGCCATTCTTAGGGCTTCAGTTTCAAGATGCTAGCAAGACAAGGGCACACTTGCAGGTGCCGCATCCAGAAACACAGAGTCTATCAAGTCCTGCATGATTTGTCACCTCCCACACACACACACCTTATCCTCTGACTTCATCCGGAAACTCTCCCCCTTGTCTTCTCCCTGCAGCCGCACTTTCTTGCTCTTGCTCAGACCTGCCAAGTGGACTCCTGGCTCAGGGCCTCTGCGCTGAGTATTCCCTTCCCTTGTGCCTAAAGTGCTCTTCACATGACTTGCTCCCTCACCTCCTGCAGGTCTTCAGTCAAAGATCATCTTTTCAGGGAGTTCTGCCCTGATCACTCTCCTCCCCTTTCTTGGTTAATTTTTCTCCACAGCATATAACTGCACCCAATGTAGGGCATATCTCCTTGCCAGTGGAGTAGCATCCCCCTCAGAAGGTATGCTGAAGAAAGCAAAGATGTTTATCTGGTTGTTCACCCTCATTTCCCCAGAACTTAACAGAGTGTTTCCTAAAGAGCTGCAAAAAGGACACACAGACAAGGGATGGACAACATCCCAGAAGGGGGTGGACTTCTTCAGATATAACACTCCATCATCACCCCCAGACCTGACCCAGAATCTCATTCGCCAAAATCGCTGTGTGGACAGTGCTGCTTAAGGGCCTAGGCCTTCTTTTAGTCCAGTCAGTGGGACTAAGGTCAGTAGATGTTGAGGAGGGGTCAATCCCTAACAAGACGAAGGATGAAGGAATGGATACTGGGAACGCCCAGCAGTGCCAGTTCGCTTTCTGATACCTGGTTCTCCTGCACTCTCTCTCTCTCTTGTCTGTGGGCCATCTTAGCACTTCACTGCCACGTGTCTGAAAAGAGTCATCTACACATGGTGCCTTCTTTCCCTCAGGCCTCATCCATGTCTCACTCTGCTGGAATCCAGTTTACATCCCCAGTCTTTCCACTTCCTCTTGCACCAGGATTATCAATGACCTACTTATGTCTAAGTCCAACGGGGCCTCTCGGTCTTTATCTTACGCTGCCCTGCTGACCACTTGGTCCTCCTCGACGCCTCTCCTTTCGGCCCTGCGACTGGTCACGCCCGCCTCAGTAGCCTCTCTCCAGCGTTCTGGGCTCTCTCCCACAAGGACCCCCATCCATGCGCACTGCGTCCACTGGCTTCTCCATCTGTCCCTTCCTTCATTCTCTGCGAAGCCTTGGGGAAATGGATCAAAATGGCACTGAAACCCGGGAAGCTGCAAAATCACAGCCGCCACAGGGGAGAAAAGCCGGAGTCCCTGAGCTGGGCAGGGGGCGCGGGGTGGTGCCGCGTGAGCCGCGCGCTCTAGGGGTTAGCGCCCCCGGGGCCCCTGTCGGCCCCCGCGAGGACAGGCCAGGCCAGCCATCCCCGGCCCCGCGCCTCAGAGGCGCCGCCGCGACCGGGCGCCAAGCCGGGGCCGAAGGAGCAGGAGCAAAACTGGCAAAGACAAGGGAGGTGGAAAGGCCCCAAGGCTATGGAAAGCGCGGAGAGGGCGCGGCCGAGCCGGGACCCGGGCTCCCTCCAGCCGACCGCCCCGGGGGCGGAGGGGAGGGGCCGTGCGGCCTTATTTCCGCGAGCGCCGGCACTGCCCGCACCGACCAGGGTCAGTCGAGCGCAGCATCCCTCGCCAGCGTCCATGCAGCACCGCCGGCAACCGCCTTCCGCATCCCGGCCCGGGGGCTTGCACCCCGCCGCCTCGCTGCTCGCGCTGCTGCTGGTGCTTGCCCTCCCGCGGGCGACAGCGGCTCCCGCGGGGCATGAGGACACCGGGCGCCTCCCGGACGCGGGACTCCCGCGCGGCCTCCTGCAGCATGCGGCTCGCGCTGCGCTGCACTTCTTCAACTTCCGCGCCGGCTCGCCTAGCGCCCTGCGAGTGCTGGCGGCGGTGCAGGAGGGCCGCGCGTGGGTGAGTGCCCGCGGTATGGGCGGGGGAGAGGGGGCGCGCGGGAGCCAGCCGTGCCCCGCGCTTGGCGGCGACACCTTAGCGCGCGTCTGCTCTCCGCGGCTGCGGAAACCGGGAGGGCAACTGTGAGGCGCAGGATGCCGGATGAGCACAGGGCTAGCGTCTTGGCGCCATTGAAGTTTCCGGGGAATAGAAGGACCCTACAGGTCCACTGAGGCTGTTAAGATATTTCACAGGACAACTCTCTTGACAGCCCCCGTAGCTGAGTCAGTTGCATCGGGAAACTGAGGCATGAACCCAAAGGATAACGTTTAATCTTGCCTGGAGGCACCCAGAGTTAGTGTCGGTCGGCAGCTCCAGCAGAAGTCTCGGGCGAGATTTACAAAAACTGGTAGTTCGCCTGCTGGAAGGCGAATGGACTGCCTTTTCATAATTGCAAATCACCACTCAAGAGCTCCAGGGTAATGTGGTTGGAATTGGAGTGTCAGCCTGGGCAGAAACTTTAGTAATTCAAGCGCCTGCTCTAATCTATGAGAGTGAATGAACTGAATGGGGGTGCAGTTTTCTGTAAGAAGTGAATTAATGGAAAATTTATAGTTTCATTACTCATTTCAAGGCACCAGCTGTATATATCGTTGTGTGTCTGTGGCATTACATTGCTTTTTTCATCAAACATAGGATTACGAAAGTTACAGAACGACATTAAATCTAACCCCAAAACAACATTGCTCCTTCCAGTAATTCCAAATATTCCACAAAACTTGCAGTTGCTCCTTCCACTGATTCCAGGTATTCCACAGAACTTGCAGACTCATACCCTCCAAGAATCTAGACTTAAATGTACAGTGTAAGTAGATTGAGGCTTAGAGCGTGGCAGTTGGAGTGTCCAGTACCATTGCCCTGGCGTCAGACACAGGTATGCGGAAGCTTGGAACTCAGCTTTGGTTCTTCAAAGACATAATCCGGTAACTGTTGTTGTTATTATGTGCCTTTGAGTGGGACCCGACTCATAGCGACCCCTCCTTGGATTTCCGAGGCAGTATCACTACCGAAGTAGATTGCCCCCATCTTTCTTCCGAGGAGTGGCTGGTGGGTTTGAACCTCCAGCCTTCTGGCTAGCAGTCAAGTGCCTTAGGCACTGTGCTACCAGAGCTCCTAATCCTGTAACTAGGGTTGCTAAACTCATTGAATTATGAAATCAAGTTGGACCTAGGGAGCTCTGGTGGCATAGTGCCTAAGGCATTTGACGGCTAACCAGAAGGCTGGAGGTTCAAACCTACCAGCCACTCCTGGGAAGGAAGGTTGGGC